TATATATATATATACTCTATACGTACACATAGAGTTGATTAAATGGAGAAATACTCGGATTAAGAATGAGTAGGAAAACACAACAATGAGCAACACCAAGACACCAAGCATTTTAGCTTATGAACCACATGGTAGTGACAGTCGCAGAACAATCATGATGTAAACTTTAAAGGTCACCATTCTTGGTAGTCTTTCGCATTCGAAGATGACTGTCATCATTAACATGCGTGATAATATGGTACACTTGTGTACAGCATGATGGCAATATAAACTTTAAGATATGTATCGTATCGTGCTGAAACTATACTACGTGTAGTGTCTCTAGTGCCCACATACAGTTATCTAATATTTGCCTGGTTAATACTGACACAGAAACAAAAGTGCTTACTTGTTTGGCGCGTCAGTTTGGGAAGGTACTCTGACCACAGCGCACACTCGTCTATCCTGGGCCCCTGCCCGAGTTTTGGCGGGTTGATGTCCAGGGTGATGAACTGTCTCCCGCTCACGGTGTACCTGGGCCACAGTTCCTGACTGTACGTCTGAAACGACTCCTTGTTTGGGTTCCTGTGGGGTAGAGAAGAGGGGTAGGGGGTAAGATCAACCTTTAGGCCACAGCAAATGAATTTAATGGATAACATCCTCCGCAGACTCCAAATCTAAATTATGCGAAAGGGCGAAAAAAAACAAGGCTGACAAAAAAGGTTCCTGGTTCCTGCATTTTTAAATTTTGATATCAAAACCTTGTTAAACAAGAAATGATGCCTATATTGTGCTATGTTTACTGCCAACTATTACAACATCCATTTGTCACTGAAAAATAAAAGTTTTCAATCATTGTACAAATAGTTTTGATTCAGTGAACATGACATACAAATCCTTCACTACATCAAAGTAAAAGACAAAACAATAAATCAGAGCCTTGTCGTGTCTCCTCTCTTCATATTTATCTGCCATCCACGTTATGGCATGGCAGCAGACATCTTTGCCCATTTCCGGCATGTTGACCACTTTCAGAAGGCAACATTGTTTTTTTTTCAAATCAGGCGAAAATTAATACGCGGTGATGTCATCCATAAAAATTACTTGTTGTGGTCTTTATTAACACAGTACCAGACACTGTGAGTGGACCTGGATGCCAAGAGGTCGCAATCAGCCTGATCAATGACGTCAACAACGCTTAGCAACATCTTCTGAGTAGACGTGATTATAAAGGCACTATTTGCCGCACTAACACACAAATAAAGCCGTGTGTTTGGCCGGACAACAGTACGGTGTTGTCACTTGTCATTGGTGTGTTTGTCTGCACACATGTTCTCGTGTGGGGGGCAGTCACGATGGAAAATGCGGCTGAAAAAGGTCATTGTGATTCTTTCTTTAAGCGGACTTAAATTTAGCATGGCTCATTATAAGAGTGTCGACATCTGTCTCCTTCATACAATATACGTACGTCATTGAAAGTTATTATTAGAAGATTACTGCTAACCCAAATATACAACTGATGTAACTTATACTATTTATATCTTTCCAGTGACATTTACATGCAAGATTCTGATATTCTGTATACGTATCATGAATAACTGATAAAATACTCTTTTGCCATAACTAATAGCAGGCATTAAAATAGATCTAGGATTTTGCATAACAACTCTGTTCTCATAGCTTGTACAACTCGCACTAATAGTCCAGAAACATCGAGAAGCTACCAAAATACGCTGTGCCTGATTCCATCGACATACCGACATCTACTTGTAAAACCTATGTGGTGTTTTCCAACACCCTGCCAGTTTATTTTAAGACTGATAACACTCTCAGCATATATGCTTAAAGTTACATCCGACAGCAAACATTTGCTCAATCCGAGGCATCGACAAATATGAAAAATATCAGGACTGAAAACTGAGATTACTATTTTTCATACTTTGCGATGAACGATGTATATGGTAGAATCTAACGTAAATCTTCTTACTTTAATTTGCTGAATTGGAAATGATCAGAGCTAAAACAGGGCAAGATATCAAACATTGGAGTTTCAATAATACAGTTGTGTCCTTTCAGATAACTAACATTGTGTTTTCGTGTAGATATCCTAAATATCTTGAAATTTGTACAAAGAGCCATAAACCTACTTGAATATCTTGAGATAGACACATTATTACAAAGATTCATCATCATAATCAACAAACTACAGCACCGGTTTCATCAACCATATATTCAATCTTTTCTTTCATTCATTCTTGGATGATAACATTTTTGAGAGGGACGGTATTTCACTTACTTCCCATGTTATATCCATAAGTACATCCATGTATCATACTTATAGTTCTGCAGTACTGGTTTACCCAAATCCCTGTGTTGTCACAGGGGTGGGGAGATACTTCTGTGTGATACATCGCCCGTAGCAAGTACAATTTAGAACCTCTGTTCTAGCTGTGATCAGTTGCCCCGCGCGCAACAAGGGACCCACAAGGCGCTGGTGCTTTATTTTATGGCAGTATTTTATCCATTTTCATCCTTCCCGGACAAGCGATTCGTTTCCATGATTGAAGTGGGATCGATCCTGCCCGTGCCTAAATGGGAGCGTGTGAAGGCGGTTTGTCACGGGATCGGGGACGCGGCTGGGGAGCATTCGTCTCTGTACGCCTTCTGTTATGAGATTATGCACCGGCTCTCTCGGATCCATGCTGTCATTTCTAACTACAGCTTTCTTCATACTAGTATTTTCATCAGTGGAGCAAGAATTTACAAACCGTTAGAGATTTTACAAAAGCATGGGATAATGTGCATTTTGTAACCCGTGCGTGTTCTGTTATAAGATTATGCACCGGCTCTCTCGAATCCATGCTGTCATTTCCAACTACAGCTTTCTTCATATTCTCATCAGTGGAGCAAGAAGTTACAAACCGTTGTAGATTTTACAAAAGCATGGGACAATGTGCATTTTGTAACACACGTTCTGTTATGAGATTATGCACCGGCTCTCTCGAATCCATGCTGTCATTTCTAACTACAGCTTTCTTCATATTCTTATCAGTGGAGCAAGAATTTACAAACCGTTGGAGATTTTTTTTTAATTGTTATTCTAAAGCTATGTTGTCAACGGCAATCGTATAAGAAGTTGCTACAAATTCTAATTCATTAGCTCTCTTGAATCCATGCTGTCATTTCTAACTACAGCGCTAGCTTTCTTCACACTTTCATCAGTGGATCAGGAATTTACAAACCGTTGAAGATTAAAAAAAAATTGTTATCCTAAAGCTATGTTGTCAAAGGTAATCGTACAAGTAGCTGCTACAATTTCTAATTCACGCTGTTATTTCTAACTACAGCTTCTTCATATGTTCATCGAATTTACAAACCATTGGAGATTTTACAAAAGCAATGGACAATGTGCATTTTGTAACCCACTTTCCCAAGATGAATTTAGTATGGGCAATGGGCAGGGTATTAAAAGGGAAATTTGTTATTCTAAAGCTATGTTGTCAAATGTAATCGTATAAGTAGTTGCCACAAATTCTAATTCGGCAGCTTAAGTACAATCTATCAACCTAAACCTTGGCAGCCAGCACTATCGGTAACGGTGCAGCATCTGGGAAGACTATGGAGAACGTACATCAATATAAGGCATTTGTCATCATTTTATGACACTAGAACTTCAACCATATATTCTCAGTATCATATATCGTACCTTTATGTCATTTCAATGATGTGTACCGTATCATTGACGAAAGAAATTGACAAAAGCAAGTTCATAAAAGGATGTTCTATACGTGACAAATGCGGTTTTTCTTCCCGTCGTTGATACACAGATGGTGAGACAGAATGCCATCACCCGGTATGTTTAATTAACCCCGGCCATTCTACAGTCTACATGCCGTCATCCGTCGTTTGTCGCTGTTTTGTACAGTCATGGTTATGACTAGGGACTATCCGTTATTGTTGACTAAGTAGAAAACATGCAGGTAGCTACATAGGCGAGTTTCACCGTAGTCAGAGAGTATGTGGTGAATGGTAGCAATGAAGTAACCAAGAAATATTTACATCACGATATAATACTTGATGTTGAAGGTTCGTAAAGGTGTATACTTCTTCAACAAAGAGTAAATTAGTTAAGTTGTCAGTGTTAATTATACAGCTTTTAGTAAAAGTTCTATTCAAACTATTGGCTAGTACCACCTACTTCAAAATTTTCCTTTGTTGTTATTTAAACCTGAATAAGAAAGGCTGATAGCACCTGCATAAAGCCATATACTAGCTGATCATAAAACATGGAGAGCAAAAGAAGAGATGAGATATGATTCAGGAAATATAGAATGATTTGCGTCGTTGTCGACCAATGGAAGATTGATCATTTGGACATGAAAGATGTCTTCTTTCCAGGTGACCTCATCACGAGGCAGGGGCAAGATGGCGCCATGGTGACAGTGGACGGCGACAAGATGACAAAGTAGGGACAGAAGATATACTTCTTACGACTCGGTAACTCCGAGTGGGTCAAAGCCTCGTCAAGTAAAGTAGATGAACTCATTTATGAGTCTAGATTTCAACAGGATTCCAACAGCATAAGGGAGAAGGGTCAACAAGGTTATGATGAATAGATCACATTTAAACATAATTAATTATTTAGAAGTATTGTTATTCCTTAGCCAAGGCGTATTTTGTTGATAACAAACTAATAGGTTAGGGGACATTAAATGAATGTCTGCTACCAAATGTGGCATTTTTATTTTATTCTTCATTTTATCCTGCAAAGAATCTACCTGAAATGATAGATTCCAGCAACATTCTTGACTATCAGAACTTTCCACAAGGACCACTATAAAATACATGTTTTGGGGGTTTACTTTTACATAACTTGTTATATATCATATGTTACAAATGTGAATATCTAATTAAGTTTGATATTTTGAATCTTTCTGTCGTTACAACACGTACCTTTGTATTTTCGCATATATCATAGTCATTTTTTTTACGTAAACACATGTAAAATGAGAGTAGATTGCCGGAAGACAAGACTTACCCGGTCCGTGCAAAGTTAGCCCAGTTCCTCATCATCCTTCTGCTGAAGTTGGCCTCGTCACGTGTGTAGTTCCTCTTGGGTTCCAGAGGCAGTCCAAACTGAAACTCGATCTCGTAGCCATGCGGCGTTCCCATCCACTTGGGCCAGACCAGGTTCGACGCCCTCTGCTCGAAGCTGTACTTGTACACAGACTGTCCGAAGGACGCGTAGGCGTGTGCGAAGTCGTTCAGCGGGCAGATGACGTTGTGGTCCCCGACAACATCATCCAGGGCATCCCGGTTGCTCACGCCGTCGTTCTCCTTCAACCAGTTGGTGTACTGAAAGGCTATGGCGTCGACGCCGAAGGAGTTCGTTTCTGGTACAGACATCTTGACCCCCTCTAGAAACTGCGAGCGACTTATCAAACTTTCCGTCTGCTTGGAAAACCCTGGTGCTCCGTAGATGAGGAAGAACGTCCCCTCGTCTTTGACTGCGCCGGCCAGGAGGTTGCACCTCTTGAAGTTTCCCCTCCTTATGGAGGTTTTGGGGTCTTCTGTGATGAACGTGCCGTCAATAACAGGGACGTGAGGGAACCTGAAGATCGGGTCCGATGTGACCCACTCTTTAGCGATGATGTACTCTGCTGGCTTTGATCGCAGACACTCTATAGTCTGGTCCAGTGGGACTGTTGTAGGGCACTCCACCGCGCGTGCGAACGCCTTCCCTCTTCGAAGTGCCTCCTTGTTTGTTATAAACGCCCACGGACAATTCGGGGCTCCGCTCTGCATGATTGCCCTTGTAAAAAGGTTTCGACTTTTTAGCGATAGCAGATGATAGCCCACACTCACGCTGCCGGCACTCTCACCAAGGATGGTCACCTTCTGCGGATCGCCTCCGAAGAAGGCGATGTTTTTCTGTACCCACTGTAGTGCAAGGTTTTGGTCCATGAGGCCCATGTTCCCGGGTGCGTCCTGATGCCCCAGTGCCAGGAACCCCAGCGAACCCACACGATAGTTCATCGACACCACGACAACGTTTTCTATAGCTGCAATCGTCTTTCCGTCGTAATAGTCCAGAGACGCCGTCCCGTACCAGAACCCACCTCCATAGATCCAGACCATGACTGTTTTGTCGGCAGGTGGAGGGTTGGGCATCCACACGTTTATTTTCAGGCAGTCTTCACTGAGCGGGGTGTTGGCATTCCAAGCCTCCGAACCCGTGAAATTAGGAAATAGGGTATCCTTGATTTGGTAGCAGGAGTTGCCGTACTGGAAAGCGTCGAACACGGAAGTCCAGTTCTTGGCAGGTTGCGGCGGCTTGAATCTCAGCGGACCTATCGGCGGCTCCGCGTAGGGGATCCCTAAGAACGCGACGACCTGCCGCCCGTACAGGTTCAGCACCTTCCCCCGTACTTTACCCGTGGTCGTTTCGATGACCGTCCGCTGAGCCACCGCCACGCTCAGAGTGATTGACAGCAGCACCAAACGTACACCCCCTCCAGTTGTCATGGTGATCCCTTCTCAGCCTGCCTTCCGCTCGCCAATCTGTAAGGAAGACACAACAGTCAGCTACAGCAGTCTGGACAATTCAATTATGTAGAGGGGCCAAATACATCAAATACATACTTCGATGGGTACGTATTGATGCGAACAAGCCCTTCCCAAGTCCAATATCACAGAGCACATAGAGGCAACCAATATTAGATTTCGATGATTATGATCTTGAGAAAACGCAGGGTGGTTTTCAGTTGGAGCATGTACCTAGCCCCGCTGAGAAAGATATGTCTATCTGGCTGGGATATTTGATTCCCCAGATATTGTACAGGACCTGGCCGGCCCCGTGGTCACTGAGCTACTGACAATGACAGACTGGGGGAAGACTATTCGATAGACCATCGCGTGGCCCATGCAATCCACGGCAGATGAGCATTCAAGTCTCCACGGGCCGACAGTGTTTCTCAGTTTTATTGCAGCCCAATACATCATCGGCTAAACCACCGTGAATGCAGTGTCTCTACTGTGAGCCACCTCCTAAACGTAATCACCAAAAGCTGCCAACCATAATCTTTACGTCATGGTCAAGGTAGAAAATCAATGAATCAATACCGCTGCACTAATGTGGTTGGGTATGTCTCATTGGCTTAATACAGAGGAATGGGCTTACCAAACTCATTACAGCCAGCGCTAATATCACATTGCTTCATTACTGTAATGTAGAACGTATCTCATTTACCATTGTCTTCATGGCTTAATCAGTCTCCTAGGGTAACACCATGTGTATGCTTTGTTTAACCCTTATACGTACATAGTACTTCATACATAGAGACAGTGTTTAATACAATTGAGTTCACGTGGATACCGACACTATTTTTTATACTGAGCATCAATATGCAGTGCACGAAATGTGAGTTTATTCCTGTCAGAAAGGTCGCGGAGCCACCACCATTTGTAACATCATCGCTTTGACAAACGGTCGTGCCACAGGATGGCGAACTGCTGTGTGTTATAACCCGGGCCATTCTGACCTAACGGATACATGTTTAAACAATGGATGACAGTCTGTTTGCAGACATTATTTGTTTCAAAAGTACTCCACACAGTGCAGCTAAATGGCTGATGTACACGTATAACTACAATCTACGCATAAAATATTATGCCAACTGTGGAATTAATGTGTCGGTATGTACTCATACACGTACATGTGGTGATGAAAAAACATCCATGTTCAGAGGATATTTTCTCATACACTAAACATTTCTCTGCATATCATCGTCATTTTGTTCGAATTTTAGTCCCTATGCCATGTGACTATGTCAACGTACATCTGCCTCAAAACTACATGGCATCAACCTTTCACAGTTAGAGCTGACTGCACGCGCCTAACAAAATCACTGACTTTTCTTGTACAAACAGTACTACTTACGCTGCTGCAAAACATGAGTATTCCAGTGCCTCATACCTTGGTGATAGATAGGACGGCCTATCCACGCAAAGTCTTTGGTAACCCGCTGTGGGAGGGTCTCACAATCGCTCGTGCGTTCAAGCAACTCATCTCGTCGCTGAGTTAGAGTCTGTATCCTTTACATCAAACACGGTTGACCCTTCAACATCATCGGGGTTAACAGGCCGCACCACCTTTGGGATGCCAAAGGTCGGCAAACATCTTATTTACTTGATCCCACACGTGGTGCATACCACCATCAAAGACGCCACGTCTACCCCAGGGTCAACATTTCTCCGCGAACATGACTTTCCTGGATTCTCTTCTCTTACAGATTGTCGCGATTTTGGGAAGTTTGAGTTCTGTGTTGTCAACAGCGAAGAGGCAGCTAATACCAGGGGCGACAGGGGGCATGGTAGACCGTCGCTGTGTCATATAGATAACTTTGAAGCGTGGAGCTTCATCTGTTTCCGAGCCGTGTGGATGTTTTAGTCGTATCCCATATGGGCGACGTGCTCTTCCAAGCAAGTAATACGCACTTGACTACTGACAGGGGCACGTTTTTCAAGAGCACGAACAGCGCATTTCATAGAATTAGTATGCATTACAGAGAGTATATTGAAGACTCTTGACGATGTGCAGTCATATGAAACTAATTACAAGTAGATAGGACGAGGAATATCATTCACGTTCCTCTTTACCCATCACTTTTTTTGTAATATTCCAATGTCAGCCAATATTGAAGAGTAAGTATCTCACAGTGCAGTACGTGCGTTCCCTGGCGTTTTGCGGGACCATATCTTATTCACTGACGGTGATTATTTCAAGCATTTCCAATTAAACGTCAAAGCCGAGGCAATCAGTTCCTGGCAACTTGGTCCTATCTTGACTTTTAAAATCTTTATTTGGCAGACGGTGGATCAGGAGCTGGCAGCTTGCATGATCCTCCCACGTCTAACCATGACTGATAGTAAATTACCAATTACGCGCACGTCCTTGTAGGTATTACTGTCACTTACGTTCAAACCCTGAATACTTACATACAAGGATGTGGAGAATCAAGTAGTTCAATTCTAACTTTATAAAGTTCAGGCGTAAGTATTACTGTCAGTCATATTGCAACCCCTGTACATATAACATACTCATATACAAGGTTGTGAAGAAGCAAGCTAGTAGTAGTTCAACTTTCTTTCTTTATTCCGAATACAATTGCAACGACAATACACGTGGAGCACCAAGCAACAAATTTAGCTGATGATGTGCCCCACACATTATAAAACATAACACAACAGTTAGATGCAGGTAAAGTTACATCGAAATGCATAAATAGCTGTACAATTAAAACAGCATACAGTCCAACTTTATGAAGTTCAGACGTCCAAAGCAATCGTGGTATTGAGATGATAACATAAATATCCGAGTTAACGATGCAGAACCAACTGGAATATGATAAAGATTAAACCTGCTGAGGCTTGGCATATGTGTATAGTACTCGTAGAACCCGTATGGTATATATAAAACTGCTCATTGTACCCTTTATAAACATAGTATAGCGTAACTTAGCACGCACTTGTAGAGGTGTACAAGCTCTTAGTCAGTAGTTCTATTCAACATTCTGCCAAACATATAGTACCCGTTGAACCTATATGTAGAATCTTGATAGACCCATACCAGATAGTAATCTTATTATCTGCCATACATTGTATCTGTTACAATCGTTGTGCAATAACTTTGACTTAATTTGATTTGACTTGACTTAGATTGTGTAGGTAACTCCCTACTTTCTGTTAAAGGCATCCAGTGCAGTTTCTATGGCTTGGAAACCACACTATCCCAATGTATATTGACCCTAAAGGCAAAAATTCTGACGAAAAATGGTCATTGGAAGGGCCCTTGGCTGATATTTAGGGTACCACCCAGAAAATAAAGGACTCATCTCCGGGCTTGTTTCTGCAGTTTTAAAAGCCCAAAGTATGAAATACTGACTCAAATGTGCTAATGTGAAGCAGTATGTGTCAATATCACAAAGATTGCCTTATTCAGAATATTTCCAGTTTTGCTGCCCTGAAATCGCATTGGATGCCTTTAACTTGTTGGGTTGGGAAATCCTCTGAGAGTCTTTTGAACATTCACGTCAGGTAGGAGAAAAACATATCAGCGGCCCCAGGTTTGACCTTGACAAAAGCCAGAACTCATGAGCCACTGGTGGATGTAGGAGGGATGATTGTTTGTTAGCGGAGATAACAATCACATTTCACAACTTAAACCACGGGATTAGCTCTCTGGTCTGGCGAGACTCACATTGGGCTGGAAAAAATCCCCAAGATTACTAGTTCATGTAAATGATCGTCGTGGTGCGTTTACGTTCAACTGAGCTGGAAACTCGTGGTTATATTTAGCAGTTGGTAACTTTTCTACACTCTGTGATAAGAGTGGATATCGTCAGAGACATGCAATAAAGCCCTTATGTGTGTTACACCGAAGGGCTGCCATATCAGCTACTGTATACAGATACTGCTGCAGAAAGCATAGACTTGTAGTAAAGACAATTCAGGCCAAATGCTAGCATGCCTAATTTCACATCAAGTATTATTTCCCCTCTTTACACCTATAAAACTGTATAAACTGCAGAAAGGCAGTCACCTTCGGTAGCAGCCACAATACATGCAAGCAATAGTCAGTCTATGTTGTATAAATATAAATGAATTAAAATACACAGATTGAATGCTATTGATACTTCTTTTAGAATACTCTAATGTCATTCTATAGTTCTCTTTGAAATAAAACGGAACGAGTTGCCTTGGCATAGAATTGCTTGATCTAATATTGATCTGCAAAAAGAACATTGGAACGCTGAGACAATAACCGTGCTTCTCGGAGAATGTGTGTTCTGGTCTCAGGGGAAATAAAAAGGGGTGGAAATATTTCAATTTTCACGGTCCATTTGTCGCAGACTCGTCTGCAAATGCAACGAGACAGGCTGATGAACGGCCGTACATGCCCCCTGTACTGTATCACATCAACTACGGGATACTTTTAGCTGTAACGTTATTCTAGGGGCATCCGTCTTTCAGTCTTGGGGAAATCTGGGGACATTTTCAACAATACGTTGAACGAAATTTGTCTGTACTTTGATCAATTTCGATGATTTAAATTTACTTGGCACATCATATGCATGTTGCTATGCATCACATCACCTACGGGCTACTTTTATAGCTGTAACGTTATTCTAGGGACATAAGTCTTGCACGAAATTTGGTCATTTTTAACAAAACGTATGACGAACGTTGTTTGCAAATTTTGTACTTATATTAATTTTGATCATTTAAATTTATTTGGCACATCATGTGCATGTTGTTATGTTTATCATCGTTATTATCTTTTATGTTCGTACATTTCAAAATTATAATTATCAATTTCGTTTATATCAAGCTCCCACTATTAATCTGTATAGTAAAATATTTCCGCTTTTAGTGATTAAGGATCTTTTGTAAGCCATTGAGACTTCAGTCAAGATGTTCAACATTTAGAAGAAATGGCCAAATTATAAACGCTAATGTCCTCTTTGTCTTTTTAATAATGTTTAACATTAGATGGAACTACA